ATATCTTTATCAATATGGTTAAAGAAATGTAAATTGAGAATTTAAAATTAGACGAGAAAATTCTCGACTTATGAGAGTATAACCTTCAAGAAAATTGATGCGATTATACTTGTTGTATAGTTGAACTCGTATTTTTATGGAAATTTTCGTAGAGGATTTTCGCTTATTATTTATTTATAATAAGATCTTAATATCTTTAACAAATCCTCTCCGCTATTTATTCTTGATCATAATCTTCTTTGTAGATTTTTCAATTTTAAAAAATTTTGTTAAAACTATAGTTTTGACAATAGTTTCAGATTGCAAACTGTACGACGTATATAAGTGCTTACCTAACTGTTTCCTTGTGACGAAGGAAAAAGTTTTTGGTACAACAAAACAGGCCTCTAACGCCACATACTTATTTATTTCACGAGTACGCCGGAATGAGGAGACTTTAAGCACACTTCCGGCCCAAAGTTTCTTCGAGAACTTTTTGGTGAAAAGTTTATCAACGAGATAGAACAGAGTAATAAGGATAAGCGTCCTGCTATTTCTTAACAACTATGAAACAAACGCATTATAAAGTGGGTCGGAACTCGTTTTAAAGTGATAGAATATTGTTACGTATATAAACGAAATGGGAGAAGTGTGTTTCACTCGCGACGAACTTTTACATTTTCTGTGCCAATTATTAGGGAACATGTTGAATCTTATTATTATTATTTTTATATTATTATCTTATTATTGTAACCTTGTTTAATGCCATATTCTGATTAATATTATTTTCAATAAATAAGTGTTGAAAGTTTTATTAAGAATTTTTATCGCAATGATTTTTGAGTCACGCGTTGTAATTAATTATAAAAGATTGGTCAATAGTGTTATAGAAGGTTAATTATTAAAAATTTTATTACGACATTGAATATCGTCATAAAAAAGATACGATATCGCATAATGGGCCACTTGTTAGCATCTTCTTGAAGTAAATTGAATGCCAATTTGTGCGAACGAACGCGTATAATTCGTGAATATCGTTACTGTATTCCCTTCTACTGGCTTCCCTCTTATTTTCATTTTAAATTATAAATTATATTTTACAATAAGCCTCTTGTCTTCCTGTTGCATTCTTTCACGAAAACATTCGTTATGATATACAGTCTGGCTCAAACATGAGAAGATAAGAGAAATAGGGAAATATTGGTGTGCAACTTCTGTTTTTTTTGGTCTTTTTATTCATTTATTTATTTATTTTTTTTTTTTCGATTTGATTTTCGTTTCATCATTTAATAAAAAAAAAGAATACGAGTACCTTTATAAAAATATACGGTATAAAATTTACGGTATAATACTTTAAAATTTTTTTGTTATTTGTAAAATTTTAAATGAAATTCGAAATTAACTCGATCTCTTCGATTCAATTTCAAATTCAAAACTCATTTGTGGTTAACACAGATGTTAACATGGAGCGAATTAGCGCGTAATATTGCGTTCAATGGCTTAACATCATCATTGCATTAATTACATTTGCAATTATCCGAGCAGGATAAGCATAAGCAAGCACGGGTCAATTATCTAAATTGTGTGTACAGAGTAAACCGCGAACCATTGGAATTATCGTGTCACGATTGTTTCTCCAACCGGCAGTATCACATTTCAGACATCTTGATCATAAAAGTGTCCAAAAAATTCCACTTTTTTTTTCCGCATCAGATGAATCATATATAATTATTCTTTCTTCTATTGAAATATTTAGACATGAGCAAACATAACTTGTTAGCTTTGATGATCCGGAAAAAGATGTCGTCACGATGTACGTTGTAAAAGTTTCTTCGATGATTTATCATATTATATTATCGTAGATGATCCATTTATTTATTTTTTCCTTTTTTTTTTACTTTAATCAAGAATCGTAAAATTGATCGATTAAAATTTCTCGAAAAAAATACTCATCTTTTAATAAACTCGCGTTGCATATTTTTACGAGTTTTATTAATGGAACGACCCAATTGTAAAAGTGAAAGCAACCGATGACGGGCAAAAACTCTGGCCGATGAAAATAGGATCCATTCGATTTTTCTTTCTCCTCGTTGACAGACAAAGATGGAGCTTATGTAACTTTCATTGTGCCAACGTCGATGCCAAAGCAGAAAAGCACAACGGCCCGTGGATTTTCCATATTCAGGCTGTTTCATTCCCTTCGTGGGAAAAAGGCGTACGTGATCCGCGAAACGTTCACGTTTTACGCGGAATATCGCTTATACAGTCTTTTTCTTCGCTTAACGTGAAACGATTCACCAGAGTTTCGCGTAATTATTTTACTCTATACACCGTCTTAATCACCGTTGACCTTCGGAAATACGATTACAGGAGATGGCTTGACGAGGAATTGGCGAGGACTCGCATCGTCTCCAATGTACGGTGAGGCAAATTGAACATCTCGATATATACAATCTTGGCTTCTCCTTGAATCCACGATCCGATTTTTTTCTTTTTATTTTCTTCGCTTTCCTTTTTACCTTTCTTCCTTTTTCTTTTTCGGTACTATTAGGTATTTAATTTTTTCTGGATTGAATCCATTTTTTTTTCTTCCTTCTCTTAGAAGACACGAACGCCATACACGAACATCGATGGTATAAAATATGGCATGTTCATGACCTGGATACTTGGTTTTTTTTTTTTTTTAATCTCTTTGTAAAGATCGCGAATAAATAAAGCAAAAAGAACCTTCGAGAATAAAAGAGAGCTCTGATTGTGTTTGATCACTTCCACCATTTTTCGATTCCATCTATCTTTATGGTATACGGATAAGAATGAGAAACGAGTTTTGTTACTAGTATTTTTTTTTTTTTTTTTTTTTTATTACATTACATTAATGAAATTTTATTTTCCACGTTTCCTTTTCAGTCAATTTAATATCATGCAAATGTTCACAATTCTACGAAAAGATCATTGAATAAAAATGACATCGTTAAATTTTTTTTTTTTTTTTTTTTATATTGTGGCTGTGAAAGAAGGATATAAAATCATTTTTATCATTTCTGTGTCTTTGCTGTGTCTTTTTCTATATAAGATTTATTATACGATATATAATTTTACGATGTTCAAAATATTTATATAGCATTATAAATAAACATAATAAATTAAAATTTCTTGCTACATATATTCATAGATTAAAAAAATAATTTTTATTAATGCATATAAGTATTCATTGATTCAACAAAAATTAAAAATAAACATGAAAAAATTTAACTTCCATGTCTCTGTATCTCATAAACTACAATAATGTAAAACAACCCATTACAAACTGATTAAAGAATTATATTGGAATCGTGATTTCATTGTTTTAATTGCGTATTCTAAAAAATCAAAGTCACGATACTACAATACGTGTATTCTAATACGTAGAACTTATGAAGCACACGATAATTTTAAAATAGGTCTCCGAATCGATATCGTTCGAGCCGTTTTCATCAGACAATGTTGGATTTGAATCATCTATTCAACACATTTAGTAGCACGTTATTTATCGTGAAATAACGACAAATCTGATGAAACAACGTGACGATTGATAATAGGTAATCGTCGTCAGGATAGACGCGAATTTCTTATATAAAGCGAAAACGTTTTCTTTCTCCGTTTCTTGATAATTTTTCCAATTTTTTTCGAGCGTATGCTTGAATGGAAAATTAATCATCGCAATACCAATTATATATCTATATATATATTTTTTTTTACATGATCTGTATATTTCGAATAAAAACACAGAATAAAAAGAATAAAAAAATTAAAATTAAGAAAATTTATTATAAATAAATAGAATTTCTTATAGTATTAAAAAAGTAAAATTTAATACATCGTCGTTATTTTATTATTAGGAATAATTAGGAATAAGAAGGGATATCTAGAATAAAGTATGATATTGGTAAATTTCATTATCGCCAAAATTTAAACGTATATAACATATATATTAATATGCAATTGTAAACATGAAATTATCAAAAGAAAACACAAAATTTTCGGCTTTTTTTTGGCACGTATACACGTATTCAAACATTTCGCGATAAGAATAATTAATACTATTGGTTGATATATAACGCAATATTATATATATATGTAAACAATTAGCAATTAAAATGCAAAATTATATATTTTAAAAATATTTTTTATTCACCATTAATCATAAAAAGAAAAAATAAAAGAAGTGATGAAATTTCTAATCAGATTAATCATTATTTTATCCATCTTTCGGGATCGTTAAATCCAATTAAATGGCGAAATATATAAAAAAAATATGATATTATCGAAAATGGGCGAATACAGCAGCGAATAGATGAAAAATGACAATAGATGAAAATGTATCAAACATTTATTAAAATACTCGAAAATTTTGGTCACGTGAATCTATAATCTTGAATCATATTTAATCCCACGAACTTAGAAAATGTTTGCAGATGACAAGTTAGAGTGAAACGTGTTTTTCACTGAATTGGAACAAATGTGGCGCCGTCGAGGCAACATTCGTCTCTTGAACGATATATTGCCCCCTACTGATGACATGCGACACGTGAAATCTTTGTCATAAGATAAAATCGGTTAATCACCGATTAATCTCCTTTTATCTTCCAAGCTTTTCGTTTATTTATCAATTCTTTTTCAAATAATTCTTCCAAATTATTTTTATCTTTTCTTCAAACAAATTCTTCAAAGTGTTTTATTTATTTGTTTTTCTTCTTTCAAGTGATTCTTATACATAAAGTGCGATGTTTCAAGTATAATCTTACAATTAAACAATGATATCAAAACTTTTCAAAACTTATTAAAAAAATTGAATTAATCGAAATTTATTATTTGACTGGCTAAATAGATCCTTGAATGCTTATTCGTTTCATGCTTGTATATCACGAAGGCGTTCGCGACAGTTTCAACAGTTAGTTTTAATTTTCCAATTGTTAACCTCTGTCTGTATGTCCTCGAATGTATGCATTTGTTAAATACATGTATGCGTGTTCTTATTACAGTTCACGGAGCGTCGAGTTACGATGTCACTGGCGTGCAGCGACGATTGGAGAGCTACGAGGTGATTCATAAAGTTAATAACAACCAACACCCAGTTGATTCGACAAGCAATAATCATGACGATGAACAAACGGTTTATGTGTTCGAATTTGAATCCGAGTCGAATGAGAAAGAAGAAAGTCTGCAAGAAGGAAAGGAGACACCTTCTGGTAAGCAACCATTTATCTTTATGGATCTCGATTAACCCATTATAAATCAAGTTATTATTTAACCTTGTCGTAGAAATAATCGAATGTGATTGACACGAATTTTTTAATTTCCATAATCATAAAATTAATTCAGAATTATATGATATCTGTCTAAATTTAATTTTTAATCGTCCAATTTATTTATTTGTCTTATTTTATATTTATTCAGTTACTCGTTGATTTAATTATAAAATTATAAAATTAATTAATATTATAATTCAATTCAATTTCTATTTCGATTATTGAAACAATTATAATAAAAAAAAAGTCTTAAATATAAAATCTATCAATTAAATAATTCGAATGAAAAGAGTTTTAAATATTTCAATGATCATAATAATAATTTATCATAGTTCTTCCGTTCTCCCGAATTATTTCATTATTCTCCTAATTGTTTTAATTATACGATAAATTTTTTTTTAAAAAGTTAGAATTCTCACTGAACAGATAGTGATCAACAAGCTAATGATCTTTAATTATTGTTAATGATCAACACATAACATAAATTTTACTCCATACATAATATTTTGTCTAATTTAACAGTATATATTATAATAATACAATGACATCGTCAAACAATTATTAACTTTACATTTAAATTCTATGTCTATAATCTTGAAACGGTATCTAGAGGAAAAGTACATATTAAAATATCGATCAAATTGAAAACTCAACTATTCGAAAGATTACTTATAAATTCTATCAATATAAAAAGTCAAAAACAAACAAGAATTCTTTCTATTAATTCTTCGTATTAATCGAAAAATTGGAAAATTTTAGATGCACACATTGTCGTATAAATAAATTGATATAATATGTCACGTATTCAACAGCATGAATTCACGCACAGATTTACGCACAAATTCACGCAACGTAATCGTTCTATTATCAGAATTGCTAATGTCACGCACGACGATTCGTTTGTGGATTCAAGACGCGATTGATGATATCTCGAAAAATTTCCGCGTCTTATTTGTATTCCATTATCGTAGCAAAATCTTTCACAAAATATCGTTGGTCACTTGTAACAAAATTTATATATTTATTTATTTTTTTTTTCTTCGAAAATTTATTCCTTCATCGATACGATATCTTTTCTTTTAAGACAAGGAAAAAGACGATTTTAACGTCGTTTAATTTCCCCATTTCGTGCACTATTTCCCATTTATATCTTGCAGCTTTTAATCGAGACGATTAATGATTGAAACTGATTGCTCGATCGTGTATCGTCGAATGTAATTTCCATAAGAGCTTACCTGCAATCAGTTGCTAATTGAGATAAATCAATTGCAGCATTGATTTACCGTAAATTTTCAAGAAATTTGTAGCCATGAACTAATTCTCCAGATGGTACCGTAACGAAAGACGTCAGCGGAGTAAACCAATAACTGCTTCTCCCTACTTTATATACATACATACATTTATACTGTGATCTATTGCTTTAGATTCTCTTGCACATAAATTTAGGATTATTATCTCGAGTCGTACTTTATTTCGAAAGCTTTCTTAAAGAAATTATTCTTATTGATGTGTAAATAATATATTTTCTATGCGTTTGAATTTTTGTTGGAAAAATATTTTCTCATCATTCACAAAATTATTATATTACAAAATGGCATAAAAAATCAATATCAAAAATCAAATATCAAAATCATCAAAATTATTATCGTAGATATATCCTTATTAACATATCCCTCTCTTTTTTTCACAGGCGGATTTATTTATGTTTCAGACGAGGAAGACGATCAAAATCCATTGGATCCCTGGTCGATCGTTTGGTACATCGGTTCGTTCGGCGGTCTGGTCGCCTTTTTCCTCATCGTCAGTTGTTCAGAATGGTGCTGTCGTCGTGGTGGAAGGTCGCTATCGGTCCCTTATTCTCAACGAAACGAGGTGATCAACGGACCGGTAGTAACCGAAACACCACCCCCACCTTATCATTTGTTCGCGCCACCCTCGTACGATTCTGTGAACTATGGGGAGATAACGGACAAGACTTCCGGGGAAAAGGTTGATATATATGTGATATCGGTGCCACTTCATAGACCTGTGGTACAGGCACCAGCCTAAAATTTCCTCGAAGAGACCCTCGAACGGAGGATACCGGTCGAATTGAAATGGAAACGACACCGATCGAGTCGACATCCATTGACAATCGTTCGTTGGTCCATCAGTGGACGCAATAGTACGAGAACGATATATATATGGTATCGCTTTTGAAAGAATTTATTGAAGCTTTCTCGGTGATATATGCATCTTCCTTTAAACTGGGAGAATTTTTGACAATCGTTCGCCGATCTGATGAACAATAAACGTTGAAAACGAGATCGAGAAGAGACGAAGAACGAGCTTGATAAATTATTCGTTTGAATATTGAGGATACTTTTGAATATCGCCAACTTGGTACACATAAGTATCACGATGTATATATGTATGTGTGAATAATAAATTTGAATATTACGAAATGAATATAGAGAAGATTTTTGCTCGTCGTTGAAGGAACAAATAATCTTTCACGAAGATTATTAATAATAGGATAAGGAATTTGGAAAGGTTGGGAAGACATTTATGAAACGAAGAGACGCGAGAAGTTTCGAATCTCTCGAATGATGATTGATGGACACCGAAAATTCCGAACTGTTAAGAAGATTTCGAAATATTGTTACCGAGTATTTAAAGAGACTTTATATTTCTGTGTAAACAGTGAATGAAGAAAAGAAGAAAGAAAGGCCGGTTGTAAATATTTTTAGAATTTAAAAATATCAAAGGAGGAGGAAGAAACAAAAAAATGGCAATGAGAAATTTCATCGTATACACTCCGACTAGATCAAATTAATGAAGCAATGTTCTCTGTGATGATGTTCATAAAACGAATTAAAATTAGAATGAAGTTAAGACGTGCTTTTTAAAAAAAATGAATCCGTTGCACGGATATTAAGCGAACAACTTTTTTTTCATTTTTTTTTTTTTTAAGAAGCTGAATAGAAAATCAACGAAATACAAACATAATGTATATTCGAGCTCAATTTTATTCGATAAATGAACAAATGATTTAGGATCAGTCGCGAGTGTTTAATTAAACGAATTATTTATCCGATCACTGCCTGATTAGATGAATGATTCGAAATCATTCTGATCCTTTATTAACATTTGTTAGTTGCTAGTTTTTGAGTTCACGACATGTCATACCAAGTCTTGTGACTTGTCGTAGCAAGTTGAGAGAACAAAAAAACTGCCATATTTTCGTATACCATTAATTTTTAAGATCAGTCTTACGCTATTTTAAAAAAATATTAATACGATGCTATTTTAAAAAAAAATAAAACTTTACAAAACTAACAAAGTTCAGATCGAGTTGAAAGTTTTATTCGCGTTCCTAGAATTTGATTTTTCTTATATAATTTTTATATATATAAAAAAATTCAAAATTGCGATTGCAAAAGAATGGATTATCGAACTTCTATATTGATGGAGTTAAACAGGTATTTAACGAGCTAGAGATAATTGAAAAATCAATAATTCGAAGCATTTTATGTTTTACGATTTTGGGAATTAAATCGAGATGTTTTATCTCTTTTTTTTTTTATTTCTAAGTCATTGAATTATATGATTTAATTATTTTTACGTAGAATATTTTAAGCATATTTTAAGTAGCATAATATAATAATAATAGTAAGAAGAAAAAGAAGAACAAGAAGAAAAGAACAACAACAATAATAATAATAATAATTAATAAATACTAGTAGTAATAGTAGTAATAGTAGTATTATTAGTAGTAGTAATAATAGTAATAATAATAATAATAATAATAATAATAATAATAATAATAATAATAATAATAATAAATAAGAGTGTCGATAAAATTCAGGGATCTTTTGCATAATCTATTGAAAAATAATATTAATTGAATTGACCAGTGATTGCATAAATTATTTTTACAATTTCACGTCAATAAAGACGATTAACTTGTAATTTGTAAAATTTATTTATAAAACTTGATTCGTTTTATTACCAAATTTATTATTATTGTATAAAAAATTTATTAACAATGATAACTTATAACTTGATGATATATATATTTTGATATTATAAAATTTAGTTCAACTAAACTGTATAATTGTGAGGATCCTTAAATTTTGTTACTATCGTAATTGCTTAAGTAATTTCAATTCAAAAAGAATGAATGTCTTTTTTAAAAGTAAAGAATTTATCATTATTCATACAAATGTTCAGTTTCAAGCATATTTTATATCTTTAATCAGAGCTAATTACAGATATTCTTTATTTTATTTATAATATTATATATAATTCTTCATTTCTTTTGTTGCTTTTTTCAATAATAATTCACTCTTCTTTTAGATCATATATATGGATATTGCATAAGAGGGCGCGAATGTAACGCTTCTCGTATCCTGAACGATCTATTAATGAGACACGTGTGCAAAGAAGTTCGAATAAACTTTAATATTATTACATTATATTGAGGTCAATTGCGATCATTCCAATTGTAAATGATTATATATAGACTACGACTTGACTGCCATAAAAGAATTTAACCTAAAAGTAGTTTGTGAAGCATTAATGCGATAATGTTTCGATATAAAAACAATCCTTATATTATATGACATTTAACATCCGTGCGACTATGATCATTTTTTTTCTTTTTGACTATTCTTGAATAGAAAATAAAATGTTGAATATTTTTTATGGATATTCGCGTTAAAAGCACGTCTCACTTGTTATTTAAATTCATAAACGAAATCACGAAAAAAAAGATACTGTGTGTTCGATATAAAAAAGTACTGGTTTACGTTTAAGTAAACACGTTTTATTTAAATAATTCATTATCTATTTTATGAGTGAAAAATAATAAAAAAAAATAAATGACTAATTCATCTTTGTTTTTTAAATGAATGCGATTCGATATGAATTTATATTATTAGCGAAAAAATATGTTCTTATGTTCTCTAAAAATTTTTATTTTTTTTGTTTCGATGTGTACTTTTAATATATTATAAAAAAACAAAAGTAATATTCAAAATATTTGATTTATAAATAAAAAGAATATTAAATGATATATTAAATATTATAAATTTAAATATAAAATATAAAAAATACTCGAAAAGGATAAATAAGATATTACGTGATATAAAAAAATATATTACGAAATCTAGTTTTATTTATGATAATGTTGTTGCATTAATCATTGTCATTTAATTTTAATCGGCCGATTATTATTCAAATAAAAAAAAGCGAGAAAGAATTTGTGTAGGAATGTGTGGAAGAATGTTTGAGAAATTTACCATAAAATAAGATTAAGTACAATGTCAATTATTATTATTATCATTGTCACTAATAATGTTATTATCATTAAATTCGTAATCGCGTTCCGAATAGCGATTGGAACACATTACGATGTATTCGCTCTCATTCAAGCTTGCAAAATTGCAATGCCATCGCTATTTATTTTTTATACTTTTATACATACTATTTATACGTATTCAAACATCTCTATGTTACCAATAAAATTTCTTTTCTCGAATTTATACTATACGTGTTTCAATTTTTCTCTTCGATTTCAATCTCGTTCGGTATGTAAGTGGCAATGATAACTTCTTCGGAGGTTATCTATTTTTAAATCTCATAATTTAAAATATTTGTTCTTTTTTATGCAACTTTATAAATTTATAAAATGGAATATATAAAGTGTAAAAGTAATAATGAAATTTAAATTGAATGAAAGGAAAAAATTTATGTGTGATCAAGAAAAATAATATTTGAAAATTCATTTTGTTAAATGAGAAAATTGTACCTGATTTGATTGCATTCTTTTTAATAATTTGTTTCAATTTTTAAGTATCACAAATTATTTATATAAAAAAAAATTGAAAAAATAAAATTTTAGTATACGGATATCAAAAAACAGTTTAAAGACATATACAAGTTCACCAACCTAGCGGTAAAAATTTAATTGCAATTATATCACGTGGTCAACAGTCTTGACAACACAATATATGTAACTGCCTCTTATATCAAGCAATTGTTATATGTACATCTTTATTTTTAAATATTCAATAAAAATTATATATTTTAAATTTTCAAATATTTTGTTAAAATGAAATCATACGGGCTAGATAAGAAATAGATAAAAATAGTAAAAATGGAGAATATTTTAACTTGGAGCTTTAAAAACATAACCTAGTCATGGATTATTTAGGTGAAGTAATAGCGCTTGGAATTGACAGTATAATTTTTGGTGTTTGTTTGAAACAATATTTTCATTGCAAAAATGCAATTACAGCAGTCAAGGTAAAATTATATATTATTATAAAATTTATTTATATAATTTTCAATAAATTTGTAATCTTGTACTTAACCTTTTTTTATGCGCAAAATGTAATACATATTGAATAATAGTTATAATAATAATTATTTAAATACTATTTTAATATTAAATATAGAAACACATATAATGTTTAAAAATACCTCAAAATGTTTAGTTTTTTCACAGGGTGCAGAGTTTCATGAAATTGGCCCACAATTGGGAGAGCTGGTTGATAAAAGTTCTAATAATAAGATAGATTACATAGCTATTAGAGGTATTGTAAAACCCTTAGGAAAACCATTGAATAGCATCAATAATAAAAAATTAACTGGTGTTGTACAAAAACTTAAAATCAAAGAACATGTTGTAGCTAGAACTACTGCTGGCTTTTGGTAATCTTTAAAATATTTTGTAAATATATATATATATATATATATATAGTTGTACATTATAATTATGTTTATATTAATAAATTTCTATTTGTATATAGGTCAGATCAAGAACGTACTGTTCATAAAGTATATAATACTGTTCCATTTTCGTTGCAACACGGAGGTTGTTCTATAGAAGTATTAGAACCATTATCAGCAGATATTTTGGATCTGGATGTTGTATCTAATACTTTTGAACCAATTATACCATCTTTTGCAGATCATTTATGGGGCTTCTTTACAGGTAAGAAATAACTATTTTAAATTTTATTTTGATGTTTGTAAAAATTATAATCATTAATTTTAGGCGTGCGTCAACGTGGTTTACAATCTACAGAAGAATTACTTCGCGAAGGCGCAGTTATTACAGGTATAGGTGAATTAGCAAGAACAAATTCTAAAACTCTTACATTACAACCCCCATTGGATGGTACACCATTTTACTTAACAAGTATGTCAATTAGTTCCTTGCTCCGAAAATTGGATGAACGTAGACGAACATACAGGTTAGTTATTTTATATAATCTATATATATAATTCTGAAACAATATTTTATGATTTAGATTACTATGTTTAATGTTTGGTGCAATTGGAATGTTGATTGGTGGAATAGTTCTTCGACGTTATTGGAAAGATAGAACAGAACAAAGATTAGCAGAAGAACTAAGACAATCTCTAGCTGAATCTCGGAAAGAAAGACGACAAAGAGTAAGAGATACTGATCTCAGGGAAGATCAATTGTGCGTTGTTTGTCGCACAAATCCTCGTGAGATTATTCTTCTTCCTTGTGGACATGTCTGTTTATGCGAAGACTGTTCTGAAGATATTACTAGTGGTTGTCCAGTTTGCAGAGCACCAATTTCACAAAAAGCTGCAGCATATATTATCTAACATAATAAAGATAATTTTTTTTTTAATTACTCCTTATTACTTTATAAAAATTATTGTTTCTGAGGTTGTAAAAATAAAGAAATAAATATGAAATGACTAAAAATTGATATGTTCTTTTGAACAATAAAATAATCATTAAAAATGGTTGAAAATAATACGATTTTAATTGAAATTATCTACAAATTAATAAATCTATGATTTTTATAGATACAAATATATTTAAACATATAAAAAATAATCAAAATTCTAAACTTTTTAATTTAATTTTGTCATTATTTTCAGATTTATTATTTGCAACGGAATTTATAACTTTTTTAACTTTGGTAGATTTTCCAATACCAAGTTTTGGAAGTCCTCTATTTAAACCTTCTAACATTATACAAGCTTTACAAATTTCTTGGCTAGATACAAATCCGCAACGGGAACAATTTCTTCGTTCCGGCAGTTTGATATTTTCTTTTATTTCCAATGTTTCTCCTACAAAAGAACATATTTATCACATATTATATAATTATGAAATAACATATAACAGTTATAACAGAATTATTATTTTTTTTACCAGAATGAATAATATCGAATATAGAAGAAGGTCTAATTTTCTCTAAATCTTTGAGGAATGTTCTTGCATGTCCTCTGTACGCATTTGGTGCAAATATACATTCTGTTGAAAAGTATACCAATCGTTTAAAATAAGCATACATAACAATCTCTTTTTCATATGCATATTTAAGAGGTTTACATCGTCTTATACAATCTGCCCCTGCCTATATTATAAGAAAAAATATTAATTTTTAATAGGTATACGCGTGCTTGTGTGTGTGT